AAGTTATTCAGAGTCACCAAATAAACGGAGGATGGACGGAGACCGCCCGCCACCGATTGGTTTTGATCTAATAAAAGCGTCCCTTCCATCACTGGTCGGGACTCTGTTTTGCATGTATTAGCTCTAGAATTACCACAGTTATCCAAGTAAATGTGGATGCAATCTAATGAACCATAACTGATTTAATGAGATATTCGCGGTTTTCACCTTAATTTGGCATGCACTAAAGCATGCATGGCTTAATCACTGAGACAAGCATATGACTACTGGCAGGATCAACCAGGGAGCTTCGTGTGTGCGTTCTCGTGCTACCGCTCTCTCGCCGTTCGCCGGAGCAAACGAGCGAGCGAGCCAGCGAGCGTAGCACAGAGAGCCGTGTGCGTGTGTCGATACATGCCGCCGGTCTCGCGAGCCGGTCGGCGACCCTCTGCTTCTTCATCGTTACATACGTAACCATGTTCACCGAACGTGTATATATACTCCGAGGAGTACACACAACGTCGGGGGTTTTGTTAAAAAGATCATGTATATTTCTGTTCTCTTTCTCCCATGATAGCGGAGCGTAGCCGCTCAGCCCTGACGCTAGATCGACGATGCGATACTCAGACGTCGAGGAACGTGCGTACTCAGACCGGTCTCACAGAGCCAACGTGCGAAGCACGATGCGCCCGCGATCGGCTGAAAAATTTCGCTAAGGCGTACAAGTAAGCGAGAAGAGAAATCGCCAGGGATCTCGCACTTCCGTCGCACTCGTATCCATGGAGTTGATGTTCAGTAAGCGCCACGATGCATCCGATCACGTTCGTTTGAGAACGAGGGAAGATCGCGCGACCAACACTATGTGCGCGCCACATAAGAGCCATTCGGTCTCGCGACACCGACTCGTGGCAATGCTGTGTTTGTATATAATATTATATCGTGTATTTCGGACGGCACGCTTCGGCAAGCGCGAGCGAACACCGGACGTTTCGTCGAACGAGTCGCTGAAGACGTCAGACGGAGCTGGGCGCCTGTCGAGCGATGTAACTCACCCTCCGTGCGAGAGTCGACGACTTCTCCGTCAATAGCGAGAAGAACGACCGACGTGCATCGCAACGATCACGGTCCGTGTTTCATAGACGTTCGAGAAGCCGTACGAGACACGTGTAACGCGTACGTACGACCGCAACGTACCGATCGGCTCGCCGAGCGCACCGCACCTCTTATAGTACCAAACCGAACGGACAAGCGGTCTGCGACGCACGGTCTTATGCACGGCCGCTTATGGGCGCGAACGTCGATAGACCGAGGCGCGCGGGACTTAGCCGCTGGAAGCGAGGTACCGCCGCGGCGTGTTGCTTTCGCCGCGTTTACCTCCGGCGCCGAAAATTCTCTGCTCTCGACGCGAACGCTCGACACGAGTGTACGGGCACGCGTGAGGCCGAATAAACCTGCAAGCACGCGAATCGACGTAATAATAAGGGCACTTGCGGGGAAGCGTCGAGGCGCCAGAGTTACCTTTGGACACGAATATTTTCAAAGTCCCGCGCTGAGTGTTGCTTTCGCAGACGGGACCGACGCGTTCTGCGGCCAAGTCCCTCGCCGCGTGTTGCTTTCGCCGACGGGGCTGACGAGCGATCCGCGGCCAAGTCCCTCGCGGCGTGTTGCTTTCGCCGACGGGACCGACGCGCTCTACAGCCAAGTCCCTCGCCGCGTGTTGCTTTCGCCGACGGGGCTGACGAGCGGTTCGCGGCCAAGTCCCTCGCGGCGTGTTGCTTTCGCCGACGGGACCGACGCGCTCTGCGGCCAAGTCCCTCGCCGCGTGTTGCTTTCGCCGACGGGCCTGGCGCGCGCTCCGCGGCTAAGTTCCTCGCCGCGTGTTGCTTTCGCCAACGGGATCGACGCGCTCTGCGGCCAAGTCCCTCGCGGCGTGTTGCTTTCGCGCGGCGCGTTGCCATTGCCGACGGGTCTGGGCGCGCGTGGGGTCTCGTCTAACCGACAAGACGAATCCCCAAGTCGAGGGCTGAGTCTCAACAGATCGCACCGTTATAACTGCTCTACCGAGTACAACACCCCGCCAAGTACCTAAGTAGTCTACAGACGATTCCGAGTCTCGACATCGGACTCGCGAAACTCATGTTCGACCGTTGGACGCCGTGCCGTCGTAGCGGTGAGATCCCGACGACGGGCGATGGTGCCGTACGGCAAACCGGGCTCCTGCGACGACCGGCCCGTGGACCGGCCGCTTAGTAGGTAAGTGTCACATTGTTTTGAGCCTTTCGACTCACAAAACTCCTAGAGATATCATTGCCACCTTTGACTAGAGGGGATACAGCCTTAGAGGCGTTCAGGCATAATCCCACAGATGGTAGCTTCGCACCACCGGCCGCTCGACCGAGTGCGTGAACCAAATGTCCAATCCTGCGGTTTCTCTCGTACTGAGCAGGATTACTATCGCAATGGCTAGTCAGTAGGGTAAAACTAACCTGTCTCACGACGGTCTAAACCCAGCTCACGTTCCCTGTTGGCGGGTGAACAATCCGACGCTTGGCGAATTCTGCTTCGCAATGATAGGAAGAGCCGATATCGAAGGATCAAAAAACGACGTCGCTATGAACGCTTGGCCGCCACAAACCAGTCATCCTTGTGGTAACTATTCTGACATCTTTTGCTGAAAACTCTTCAAGCCAAAAGGATAGGCCGTGTTTTCGCAGTCTCTATGCGTACTGAACATCGAGATCAAGCGAGCTTTTGCCCTTTTGCTCTACGCGAGGTTTCTGTCCTCGCTGAGCTGGCCTTAGGACACCTGCGTTATTCTTTGACAGATGTACCGCCCCAGTCAAACTCCCCGCTTGGCAGTGTCCTCGAATCGGATCACGCAGGAGTACAAACGGCGATCGGCCGAGGCCTCACGCCACTCTGACACGACTTGGCTCTGGAACACCGTGACCGCCGGGGCACGAAGCCCTCGGGGCACGCGCTCCGCCCAACCGAGTAAGTAAGGAAACGATGAAAGTAGTGGTATTTCACCGGCGATGTTGCCATCTCCCACTTATGCTACACCTCTCATGTCTCCTTACAGTGCCAGACTAGAGTTAAGTTCAACAGGGTCTTCTTTCCCCGCTAATTTTTCCAAGCCCGTTCCCTTGGCAGTGGTTTCTCTAGATAGTAGATAGGGACAGTGGGAATCTCGTTAATCCATTCATGCGCGTCACTAATTAGATGACGAGGCATTTGGCTATTTAACTAATTTATTTTCCATGTTTTACATAATATAATATAAGATCGTATTTATATAGTAGTAATTTACAATGCGCTGCATGGATACAGCTGAAAGAAAGGGTTCATGACCGTGGCGGCCCCCAATCAGACATCCGACGTACCTATGTTTCCTTGCCGTCATTGTCGTCTGGTTGAACCTCGTGAAGTTTCTATGGGAGCCGGAGATGACCCTCGTTGTTATGCTTCTCATGACTGTCCTCGAGACACCTAGTCCTGATAGGTTCGCAGCGGACGTTGCGTCCCATATGCCCCGCCATGTGAGTGTGGCCGTGGATACCATGATCCGCTGCTGTGGAACCTGGAACATATCTGCAACAGACCCCAATAACTCTCAATTTCCAGCATAGTACCCCTTCTTCCTTTCGTGGGTCTCAGCCAAGCTTTGGACGCGCGCCAGATACGATTTGAACGTCCAATACGCAGGCTCTCCCGTCCTTCGATGCCACTATGTCCGGCTTTCTGGCGCCCGCAGTCGTTCTGAATACGTGCTCACGTCTGACCTCGAATCCACGCCCATGGAGGTCCTGTGCCAAAGTTGCTGCTACTGCATCGTGTCGCAGCACCCTTCCGCAATGTGTCCTGAAGCACTGCTGGATTACATGCGCCGCCGTCTCCTGCACATCGCATCCTCCGCGACATCCCACATCTTCCTGTAACCTTCTTGGTCCTCGTGTTGTCCTTATTCTGGTTGGCAGGGCGTTGATCCAGACTCGGATATAATTTAGCCACTCCGCCGATGGGATGTGCACCATCGGATCCCTAATCCAGTCCGTCGAAGCCCTCACCCTGCCAGCCTCTTTCAACTCATATTCGTCTACTGTCTTGTAGAGCTCTTTTGGCCAGTCTTCGTCTTTTCTCTTCGCCATCGCACACCATCGGGCTCTTTGAGCCGCCCAGACGCTCCGGGCTACCATCCGCGCTGTGTTGTAGTTGGAGCTGCCCAAACCCTTTAATCTAGCCAAG